ACGATTGAGAGACAGCTGCAGTTGTGTCTTAATAAAATAAATGATTGGTCAGAACGTAATGGTTTTAAGTTTTCAAAATCTTCAACAAATTGCATTCATTTTTGTCGAAAGTATAAACCACATAGGCACCCGGATCTCCATCTTTCGGGCACTCCAATCAAAGTTGTAAAGGAAGCTAAATTTCTGGGAATGATATTTGATCAACACCTTACTTTCTTACCGCATATTAAAAATCTGAAAGCTAAATGTCTGAAGGCACTGGATTTACTGAAAGTTGTTTCTAACTCCAAATGAGGAGGGGACCAAATTACCCTACTTCACTTGTACAGATCACTTATCCGTTCTAAACTAGATTATGGCTCCATCATCTATGATGGAGCCTGCAAGAGCAATCTTAAATTATTAGATTCTGTACACCATCAAGGTCTAAGACTTTGTCTTGGATCTTTCCGGACATCTCCCATTGATAGTCTTTACTACAATATGTCACAAAAATGTCTTCAAATGAGTCTAACCCAGCATATAATTGTGTTTTTGATCCTTTTTATGAAGATCTGTACAACAAGAAGCCTTCTGTTATTCCCCCTTTAGGAATACGAATCAAACCTTTTATTTCTGCTGATCAGACTGAGCTCGAAACTATCTCTCCTTTCTGACAGATTTCTTCTCCACCTTGGCAATTGGTAAGACCACAGGTTGATCTAACCCTTTCTCAATAAAAGAAATCGGAAACAAATCCATTATAGTATCAACAAGAATAGTATCAGATAAGAAGTAAATATGATATTTACAAATCTATCTTTACAGATGGGTTCAAGGATGGTGGTGCTGTAACAAGCGTAGCATATGTCATTGATCCAGAACATTATCTATAAGATTACCACAGAACGCTTCCATTTTCACCGCCGAATCAAAAGCGATCTTAACAGTCCTAGAATATGTAAGTAACAAATCTAAACATAAGAATATTATTATTTTTTCAGACTCACTATCCTGCCTTCAGGCTATACAAAACAATACGTGTCAACATCCAGTTGTACTTGACATCAATGAATTACATAATAAACTTGCTACTGGCCAATATGACATCGTCTTTCGTTGGTTACCCAGCCATGTTGGAATCGCTGATAATACAATGGCTGACGCTACAGCCAAATCGGCACTAAACAAATCTGTAACACCACTTCTGATACCATACACTGATATAAACCTGTGATTATATCCTACATCCGTGATCAAAGAAGTGGGACACTCAGGTGGGTATGAATAAACTAAATGAAATTAAACCAAGTATCGGTTATACCCACTTGGGATGTCAGTTCAGATTGGAAGAGGTAATATTACGACGGTGTCGTATTGGTCATTCACCATATACTCATGAATATTTATTGAAAGATGATGATCCTCCGTTTTGTGTCCCTTGTGATGAGAGAATCACGGTCAAGCATGTCCTGCTTGACTGTATTGATTTTTCCATTGCAAGGGATAAATGTTATGGTGTCAAAACAATAAAGGATCTTTTTAATAACGTTCATCCTCATTTAATCTTGGATTTTTTAAAAGGAATAGACTTAATAGTTAAATTTTGATGTACATAGTGATGCCTTTTATAACTCGGTAGGATATAATTATTACAACAGATTGATTGTGACTGTACCCTTGACGGGGGCTGAAGTACCGTAAAGCTATTGTTCCCCTATGAGAGTACATAAGTCCCATTTCATTCAAAGAATGTTTATATCTCCCATCGTTTTAATAGTAGAATATTTGTTCTTTTAATGATCGGCTAAATTTCTGCAATATCGCCAACACCTAAGGGGATGGTGTAAAACCACTCAAACCCATCCATTCGTCGTGCAAATGACGTTAGTGCCAAATCAGGTTTTGCACGTGCAGTCGATCACGTGATCTTCGCATCGAAGTTTTCTTCATATGCACGTGTTTGCATTGGCCTCAAGAATTGAAAAAACACTTTTAAACCACAGTTCTAAGGGTACTTGAAATGCCACGATTGTCAAATGTGCAACGTGAACGTGCCGTTGGCATGTTGCAAGCGGGAAGATCAGTTATTGACGTCGCAACAGCAATGGGATGCAGCCGTCGTACTGTGTATGACTTGCAAGGTCGTCTACAACAAGCTGGCACCACTTCTGATCGCCCAAGGTCGGGTCGTCCACGTGTGACGTCACGAGCTGAAGACCGTCACATCGTCCTACGTCACCTACGTGACAGATTTCTGCCGGCTACACGAACCAGGGCTGAGATGTTTAGAGGTCGACTGTCCTCACAGACCATTCGAAATCGGTTGCGGGCTGCCAATCTCCATTCTCGACGTCCATATCGTGGGCCAATATTGAGGCCGTTTCATCAACGTCAACGTCTGCTGTGGGCCCAACGTCACCTCCGACGGTCCCAGAGAGACTGGAATCGAGTCGTCTTTAGCGATGAATCCAGGTTTACCCTCAGATTCGCGGACGGCAGGCATAGAGTCTGGAGACGACGTCGTCAACGGTTTGCCCAATGTTGTGTACAGGAAGTCGACAGATTCGGGGGCGGAAGTTGCATGGTGTGGGGTGCTTTCTGTGGGAACAACCGTTCCCGATTTCTGGTTATCCGTGGAAACCTCACAGCTGCTGCTTACCGCGACCAGGTGCTCAACCCTGAACTCGTTCCTTTCATGGCGGCTCATGGCCCAGATCTACAGTTCCAGGATGATAATGCTCTGCCGCATACCGCGATGTTGACACGAAATTTCCTTCAAAACGCTGTAATCAACGTCATGGACTGGCCATCGAGGTCCCCTAACCTTAATCCAATAGCGCACGTTTGGGATGCACTTGGGAGAAAGCTTCGTGGTCTTAGGAACCAACCTCAGAATTTGCAGGAACTTTGCGCTGCCTTGCAAGAGCAATAGCGCAGAATCCCCACCCACGTGTTCACAAGCATCAGGCAGTCGATGAGGAGACGGTGTTTGGCAGTGGTGAATGCGCGGGGCGGCCATACACGATATTGAACTGAGAAATTTCGCATTTTTATTCTTGTGACTTGACATTCTGTATACCCATGTTTTGGAACGGCGGTGTAGCCTAATGGAACTGATTATGGCACTGTCAGTGTATCGAGTACATCACACAGATCTCAGCAATGAAATAATAACAATTTAACCGTCTTACCATCTCTTGTTCTTTTGTAGTGCCCTAAAGAAAGAATGTGAAGTTTCTTTTTTTTGACTCAGTATATTTTGTATTGTTTTCTGCAGTCATAGCGTTTAGTACAACATACAAGTTTTAAACCAAATTTGTGGTATTCTTGTATTTTTACTGTCCTTCGATGACAGGTTTATATGGTATATATTTATTGTGATTTTACTGATACATTGTTCTCGTCACGGTATGGCTGAAATACTGCCAATGTGACGTTAAATATTAACTCACTCACTCACTCACTCACTCTCACTATGATACTCTTACCATGCATATTCTAAAGGTATTGAGCCATTGCAAGCAATGAATAGCGGACTGGATGTCGGAAAATTTAAAAAAAATGCCACGCAGTGTAAAATCGGAAGTTTTCTTTGTTTACATTTCAAACTAGCGCAGTCTTCCGAGCACAGCGTTCGGTTTCACACCCAATATCTTTCGTTTCATTTTATCTTTCTAGACAGTTGGTATTGGTGACAAAGACCAGTTGTAATTTGATTTTAAAATGTAAGGGGAATTCAGTGATTTGTCGCGGCTGACTATTAAATATACGTGATGTAATAGGCGTCTCAAAACCGGCCTTTGAGATGCGTGATTTTGTAAACACTATCAAAAATGGCGGAAAGCGCACTTCGGCGTTGGTGTAAGTATATTTTCGAAAACATCCCAACCGATTCTAGGTTCATCGGCAGCGTTTCAGATTTATCACTAGTGACATCAGGAAAAACTGAGTTCAGTGATCATTAATATGGTATTTTTGAAATTCAATCCTCCCAGTAATTATCCGATTTTCACATTTGAAAACATACTGTACAGCAAATAATGCTGTGAATCGTGATTTCGTATTTGATGAGAAATGGCGACATTTACGATCAAGCCTATTTTGAAAGGTTATTTTAAGCAATTTAGCTTTGTCTGAGATAATAGTGGAAGAAACAGGGAATATCCCGCAGAATACAAAACTGTGAAGTATATTTGTGTGCGTGATATATTTAGAATTTTATTCGACTTCAAAGTGAGGGTTAAAGCGGAAGGACATATATCCCTGTGGTACACATGGGGTTTAATCAAGTCCAGAGACTCGGCCAGAGCACTAGTGGTGTCGCGGAGTATTCTTTGCACACTAGCTCTGGAAAATCCATGGCGATCCCCAATTTCACTGAAGAAAACCCCTTTTCGAACTCCATCGAGCACATCTTGGGTTTTCTTGGTCGTCCTTTGCAGGTAAGGGTCCTCCTGTACCAAATGTGGGTGAATTGGAGGCAGCATTATATCGCATGAGGAGCGTCGGCAGTTGCCTCGGGAACGTATCACTGGTGGCATGAGGAGAAGGGTGAAGGTTGTCATCCAGGCATGTGGCGGATACACGTGATACTGATGTCAAACACCCCGCGAGATTTCAGTGGGCCTTTACGAGATCAGACACTATATTATCGTATGTGAATCAACAGTGTTGACATACTGCCTACATTTTGTTGTTTTTCTGTTATGATGTTTTTTAATCTACCATCAGATAATCAGGCATTATTGCTCTTCTGGAAGTCTGAAATTTCTTGACACCTTTCTGTTCACATCACTGTTCCCGAATAGGGTGCGAAAAAATATGTTTCAGGTGTATATGTGCACATTAGTGTGAACGTTTATATCCGTTCACAGAAGTGTGAACTACGAACATCATATCAGGTTATTGCCCAATCCACCAATGAGAATACAGACAACGTTGTAAACCTTGAAGTATTGCATTGTTTATACCTTTCTTCACTACAAGTATGAGCATATACACGTGCAACTAATACTCACTCTGAGATACCGGGATTTCCTGAAAGTAATGAACACAAGCTATATCAAATCGTCTAAATCCTACCAATGGATTCTACTTGGCGGCAACAGTTTTATTATTACAATAATACATTATGCCTAAAGGCTTTTTTTACTATCAAAATAACAGATGGCTATTTTACGAAAGAACGACAGTTCCTTCAAAATGGAATCATCTACTGCGGAATAACAGTACCCAGAGTGAATGTAGTTTGGAAATATCTGAACTACTTTAAGGCGCGGTGTAAATCAACAAATTCGCTCAAGACAACAACAGCACTCCCACTGTCAATCATGTCTTACGACCACTATATATTTTCACTCTGTCATGTGTCAGCAGTGCAATCATCTTCTGTCATGTGTCACCTGTGCAATCATCTTCTGTCATGTTCAATGGGTTCGATCATTCTGTCATGTGTGGGCGGTGCAATCATCTTCTGTCACACTGGTACAATCATCTTCTGTCATGTATAAGCGGGGCGGTCATTCTGTCATGTCAGCTGGGCGGTCATTCTGTCATGTGTGCGGGGGCCGGTCATTCTGTCATATGTGAGCGGAGCAGTCATTCTGTCATGTGTAAGTGGGGCGGTCATTCTGTCATATGTGAGCGGAGCAGTCATTCTGGCATGTGTAAGTGGGGCGGTCATTCAGTGATGTGTCAGTGGGGCGGTCATTCTGTCTTGTGTCAGTGGGGCTGTCATTCTGTCATGTGTAAGTGGGGCGATCATTCTGTCTTGTGTCAGTGGGGCTGTCATTCTGTCATGTGTCAGTGGGGCGGTGATTCTGTCAAGCGTAAGCAAGGCGGTTATTCTGTTATGTGTCAGCGGGGCGGTCTTCTGTCATGTGTCAGCGGGGCGGTCAATCTGTCATTTGTGAGTGGGGCTGTCATTCTGTCATGTGTCAGTGGGGCGTCCTTCTGTCCTGTGTCAGCAGATTAGTCTTTCTGTCATGTGTCAGCCGGGCGGTCATTCTGTCATGTGTCAGCGGGGCAGTCATTGTGTAATGTGTCAGTGGGGCGGTCATTCTGTCATGTGTGAGTGGGGCGGTCATTCTCTCATGTGTCAGCGGGTTAATCATTCTGTCATGTGTCAGTGGGGCGGACATTCTGTCATGTCTCAGCGGGGCAGTCATTGTGTCATGTGTCAGGTGGGCAGTCTTTCTGTCATGTATCAGTGGGGTGCCCATTCTGTCATGTGTCATTGAGGCAGTCATTCTTCTGTCATGTGTCAGCGGGGCAGTCATTCTGTCATGTGTCAGCGGGGCGGTCATTCTGTCATGTGTCAATGGGCGGTCATTCTGTCATGTGTCAGTGGGGCTGTCATTCTGTCATGTGTCAGCTGGGCGGTCATTCTGTCACCAATGGCACCCGTCACAAACACATACAACACTAAACAGCGATCAGACGTTTTTCATACCTGAAGGCGTGAATGTTAAAACAGTAACAAAATACATAATTTCAATTATTGCTTTTATTTCAGTGTATTCAGTGATAAAACATGTTCACATTCATTCTCGGACTTAGGCTAAGTTTGAGGGATAGACTTACCAGAGTCATATTGTGTTGAGCAAGAAGCATCTGAGCCGTCTTCAAAGTCTGCCTTCCTTTTATCTCCTGTCTTGGGCCTAGACATGATTGTGATATCTGAAAGTACACAGTGAACATTGTACATTTCAGCATTACCTTTGGACGATATACGTTGTTTTATGTGCAGTTTGCGTGGTATATTCTACATTATCTTACCTCACGCATAAATGTCGTTTTCTGATTGGCTGACCGTTCATCTATTATTTTCAATGTACCCCGCTTACAAGCGAGTAACATTTCAATGTACCCGGCTGTCAATGGCAACTCAGTTGGTACTTCGTGGTAGCAATTCTTTATCTCGAATACCATTGAATCACGTATGATGTACCGAAATTTACGATGTTTTGCGAATGCGGGGCGGTCATTCTGTCAAGTGTCTGTGGAGTGATCATTTTGTCATGTTAGCTGGGTCGTCATTCTGTCATATGTGCGTGGGCCGGTCATTCTGTCATATGAGAGCAGAGCAGTCATTTTGTCACGTGTAAGTGGGGTGGTCATTCTGTCACATGTCAGTGGGACGGTAAGTCTGTCATGTGTCAGCGAGGCAATCATATTCTGTCATGTGCCAGCGGGGCAGTCCCTTTGTCATGTGTCAGCGGGGCGGTAATTCTGTCATGTGTCAGTGGGATGGTCATTCTGTCAAGTGTCAGTGGGGTGGTCATTGTGTCATGTGTCAGTTGGGCGGTGATTCTGTCATCTGTCAGCGGGGCTTTCATTGTGTCATGTGTCAGCGGGGCGGTCATTCTGTCATGTGTCAGTGGGGCGGTCAATCTATCATGTGTGAGTGGGGCAATCATATTCTGTCATGTGTCAGCGGGGCAGTCCTGATGTCATGTGTTAGTGCAGCAATCATATTCTGTCATGTGTCAGCGGGGGCAGTCCTTATGTCATGTGTCAGCGGGGCGGTCATTCTGTCATGTTTCAGTTTGGCGGTGATTCTGTCATGTGTCAGCGGGACGGTGATTCTGTCATGAGTCAGCGGGGCAGTCATTCTGTCATGTCTCAGTGGGGTGGCCATTCTGTCATGTTTCAGTTGGGCGGTCATTCTGTCATGTGTCAGTGTGGCAGTCTTTCTGACACAAACACATACATTGGTAATTTACGATGTTTTGCGAATGCAAATCGGTGGAAAATAAATACGGGCGCAAGGAACATAAACAAGCATCGAGGGTACATCAACCCATGCCGCACTCGTGACCAGTGAACAACGTATTTATCTTACCCAACACCTTAATGTTAATTTTGAATTGTTTGAAGCATGGTGCACAAATGTTTTTGGAGCCTTCGCTAGATTTTACTGACATGAAAACCAGATTAGATTTATGTCCCTTCCATCGAATTGCATTCGCAGAACATCGGTAATTTCCGTACATCATACGTGATTCAATGTTATTCGAGGTAAAGAATTACTACCACGACGCACCAAATGAGTTGCCTTTGACATATATTGTATGGTGAGTGTTAAAGTGGGTAGTTTGTGCGGTATAGTCTATAATATATGGTGAGTGTTAAAGTGGACAGTTTGTGTGGTATAATATATATTGCATGTTGAGGGTTATAGGGGACAGTTTGTCTGGTATTGTCTATATTGTATGGAGAGTGTTAAAGTGGACAGTTTGTGTGGTATAATGTATATTGTATGGTGAGTGTTAAAGTTGACAGTTTGTCTGGTATAGTCTAAATTGTATGGTGAGTGTTAAAGTGGACAGTTTTTGTGTTATAGTCTATATTGTATGGTGAGTGTTAAAGTGGACAGTTTGTGTGGTATAGACTATATTATGGTGAGTGTTAAAGTGGACAGTTTGTGTGGTATAGACTATATTGTATGGTGAGTGTTAAAGTGGACAGTTTTTGTGTTATAGTCTATATTGTATGGTGAGTGTTAAAGTGGACAGTTTGTGTGGTATAGACTATATTGCATGGTGAGTGTTAAAGTGGACAGTTTGTGTGGTATAGACTATATTGCATGGTGAGTGTTAAAATGGGTAGTTTGTGTTGTATAATTTATATTGTATGGTGAGTGTTAAAGTGGGTAGTTTGTGTGATATAGTCTATAATAATGATAATAATGTGTCCATTTATATAGCGCCAAACTCCACACTAGGTATGCTCATAGCGCTAACAATCAAGGCCATTTGTGGTGGCGCGTGGTCCTGTGCTTAAAGCTCAGGTCACAAATCTGTGAAGATAAGCAGCGTCGAGCTCGGAGAGTCCTTGGATGGGTGACCGTGTTTGGCAGCTTGACTCCTGAGAGTTTCTAGGACTTGAGTCCTGCCCCACACCGAAGCACATGTAACACATGTGGTCTCACCTTAGGCAAGTGAGTTTGTTCAAACTTTTCTCTGTTCACCCAGCAGGAAAATGGGTACCCGTTAGAAAAAAGTCATATGACTATAACCTTCTAGCGCCTAACAGTTTGTGTGGTATAACGTATACTGTATGGTGAGTGTTAAAGTGGACAGTTTGTGTGGTATAGACTATATTGCATGGTGAGTGTTAAAGTGGACAGTTTGTGTGGTATAATTTATATTGTATGGTGAGTGTTAAAGTGGGTAGTTTGTGTGGTATAGTCTATATTGCATGGTGAGTGTTCAAGTGGACAGTTTGTGTGGTATAATTTATATTGTATGGTGAGTGTTAAAGTGGGTAGTTTGTGTGGTATAGTCTATATTATATGGTGAGTGTTAAAGTGGACAGTTTGTGTGGTAAAGTCTATATTGTATGGTGAGTGTTAAAGTACACAGTTTGTGTGGTATAACTTATACTGTATGGTGAGTGTTAAAGTGTACAGTTTGTGTAGTATAATGTATATTGCATGGTGAGTGTAAAAGTGGACAGTTTCCGTGGTATAATTTATTTTGTATGGTGAGTGTTAAAGATGACAGTTTGTGTGATATAGTCTATATTGTATGGTGAGTGTTAAAGTGGACAGTCTATGTGGTATATTTTATATTGTATGGTGAGGGTTAAAGAGGACAGTTTGTGAGGTATAATATATATTGCATGTTGAGTGTTATAGTAGACAGTTTGTGTGGTCTAGTGTATATTGCATGGTGAGTGTTAAAGTGGACAGTTTGTGTGGTGTAGTCTATATTGTATGGTGAGTGTTAGTGTATAATTTGTGTGGTATAGTCTGTATTGTATAGTGAGTGTTAGTGTACACTTTGTGATGTATAGACTGCATTGTACGGTGAGTGTTAAAGTGGACAGTTTGTGTGGTGTAGTGTTAGTGTACACTTTGTGATGTATAGTCTGTATTGTATGGTGAGTGTTAGTGTACAATTTGTGTGGTATAGTCTGTATTGTATGGTGAGTGTTAGTGTACAATTTGTGTGGTATAGTCTGTATTGTATGGTGAGTGTTAGTGTACAATTTGTGTGGTATAGTCTGTATAGTATGGAGAGTGTTAAAGTGGACAGTCTGTGAGGTATAGTCTGTATTGTATTGTGAGTGTTAAAGTGAACAGTTTGTGTGGTATAGTCTGTATTGTATTGTGAGTGTTAAAGTGGACAGTTTGTGAGGTATAGTCTATATTGTATGGTGATTGTTAGTGTACAGTTTGTGTGGTATACTCTGTATTGTATGGTGAGTGTTAATGTACAGTTTGTGTGGTATTGTCTGTATTTTATGGTGAGTGTTAAAGTGGAGAGTTTGTATAGTAAAGTCTATATTGTATGGAGAGTGTTAAAGTGGACAGTTTGTGTGGTATAGTCTGTACTGTATGTTGACTTTTAAAGTGGACTGTTTGTGTGGTATAATTTATATTGTGTGGTGAGTGTTAATGTGGACAGTTTTAGTGGTATAGTCTCTATTGTATGGTGAGTGTTAAAGTGGACAGTTTGTGTGGTATAGTCTCTATTGTATGTTGAGTGTTAAAGTGGACAGTTTCTGAGGTATTAGCTTTATTGCATGGTGAGTGTTAAAGTTGACAGTTTTGTGTGGTATAATTTATGTTGTATGGTTAGTGTTATAGTAGACAGTTTCTGGGGTATAGTCTACATTGTATGGTGAGTGTTAGTGTACAGTCTGTGTGGTATAGTCAGTATTGTATGGTGAGTGTTAAAGTGGAGAGTTTGTATAGTAAAGTCTATATTGTATGGAGAGTTTTAAAGTGGTCTGTTTGTGTGGTATAATGTATATTGTATGGTGAGTGTTTAAGTGGACAGATTGTGTGGTATAGTCTGTATTTTATAGTGAGTGTAAGTGTACTGCTTGTGTGGTATAGTCTGAATTGTATGGTGAGTGTTAAAGTGTACAGTTTGTGTGGTATAGACTATATTGTAAGGTGAATGTTAAAGTAGACAGTTTGGGTGGTATAACTTGTGTTGTATGGTGAGTGGCAAAGATGTCAGTTTGTGTGATATATTCTATATTGCATGGTGAGTGTTAAAGTGGACAGTCCCTGTGGTATATTTCATATTGTATGGTGAGTGTTCAAGCGGACAGTTTGTGGTATAATATATATTGTATGTTGAGTGTTATAGTGGACAGTTTGTGTGGTATAGTCTATATTGTATGGTGAGTGTTAAGTGGATAGTTTGTGTGATATAGTCTATATTGTATGTTGAGTGTTAACGTGGACAGTCTTTGAGGTATAGTCTATATTGTATGGTGATTGTTAGTTCACAGTTTGTGTGGTATAGCCTGTATTGTATGGTGAGTGTTAGTGTACAGTTTGTGTGGTATTGTCTGTATTTTATGGTGCGTACTAGTGTACTGCTTGTGTGGTATAGTCTATATTGTATGGTGAGTGTTAGTGTAAAGTCTGTGTGGTATAGTCAGTATTGTATGGTGATATATTCTATATTACATGGTGAGTGTTAAAGTGGACAGTCTGTGTGTTATATTTTATATTGTATGGTGAGTGTTCAAGCGGAGAGTTTGTATAGTGTAGTCTATATTGTATGGAGAGTGTTAAAGTGGACAGTTTGTGTGGTATAATTTATATTGTATGGTGTGTGTTAAACTGGACAGTTTGTGTGGTATAGTCTTTACTGTATGGTGAGTGTTAAAGTGGACAGTTTGTGTGGTATAGTCTCTATTGTATGTTGAGTGTT